CGCGCTCGTCGCTGTCGCCATCGCCGCCTCCACGCCTCCGCCTCCGGCACCGCCTCCGCCGGCCCCGCCGCCGCCCTCGCCGCCACCGCCGTCGCTGTCGCCCTCGCCGCCGCCGCCGGCCCCGCCGCCACCTGCCCCTCCGCCGCCCACTCCGCCGCCGCCGTCGCTGTCGCCCTCGCCGCCGCCGCCGGCTCCGCCGCCACCGGCCCCGCCGCCGCCCACTCCGCCGCCGCCGTCGCTGTCGCCCTCGCCGCCTCCCACGCCGCCGCCTCCGGCACCGCCTCCGCCGGCCCCTCCGCCGCCCACTCCGCCGCCGCCGTCGCTGTCGCCCTCGCCGCCGCCGCCGGCTCCGCCGCCACCGGCCCCGCCGCCGCCCACTCCGCCGCCGCCGTCGCTGTCGCCCTCGCCGCCGCCGCCGGCCCCGCCGCCACCTGCCCCTCCGCCGCCCACTCCGCCGCCTCCGTCGCTGTCGCCCTCGCCGCCGCCGCCGGCCCCGCCGCCACCGGCCCCTCCGCAGCCCACTCCGCCGCCGCCGTCGCTGTCGCCCTCGCCGCCGCCGCCGGCTCCGCCGCCTCCGGCACCGCCGCCGCCGGCCCCTCCGCCGCCCTCGTCGCCGCAGCCGTCGCTGTCGCCCTCGCCGCCGCCGCCGGCCCCGCCGCCGCCGGCCCCTCCGCCGCCCACTCCGCCGCCGCCGTCGCTGTCGCCCTCGCCGCCGCCTCCGGCACCGCAGCCACCGGCCCCTCCGCCGCCCACTCCACTGTCGCTGTCGCCCTCGCCGCCGCCGCCGGCCCCGCCGCCGCCGGCCCCTCCGCCGCCCACTCCGCCGCCGCCGTCGCTGTCGCCCTCGCCGCCGCCGCCGGCCCCTCCGCCGCCGTCGCTGTTGCCCTCGCCGCCTCCCACGCCGCCGCCTTCGGCACCGCCGCCGCCGGCCCCTCCGCCGCCCTCGCCGCCGCCGCCGTCGCTGTCGCCCTCGCCGCCGCCGCCGGCCCCGCCGCCGCCGTCGCTGTCGCCACCGTCGCTGTCGCCCTCGCCGCCTCCCACGCCGCCGCCTCCGGCACCGCCGCCACCGGCCCCTCCGCCGCCCACTCCGCCGCCGCCGTCGCTGTCGCCCTCGCCGCCGCCGCCGGCCCCGCCGCCACCGGCCCCTCCACCGCCCACTCCGCCGCCGCCGTCGCTGTCGCCCTCGCCGCCGCCGCCGGCCCCGCCGCCACCGGCCCCTCCGCCGCCCACTCCGCCGCCGCCGTCGCTGTCGCCCTCGCCGCCGCCGCCTGCGCCTCCGCCGCCGTCGCCGCCGCCACCGTCGCTGTCGCCGTCACCGCCTCCCACGCCGCCGCCTCCGGCACCGCCGCCGCCGGCGCCTCCGCCGCCGTCGCCGCCGCCGCCGTCGCTGTCGCCCTCGCCGCCTCCCACGGCCGCCGCCGGCTGCACCGTCGCCGCCGGCGCCTTCGCCGGCGTCGCCGCCGCCGCCGTCGCTGTCGCCCTCACCGCCTCCGACGCCGTCGGCTTCCGCAGCGCCGACGTCGGCTCCGTCGGCACCCTCGGCGCC